TCGACAGAAGTGCCGTTCTAGTCTCATCCATCTTCAAATTGTCACCTACAAGCATCAATGTTTGTATTAGGTTCTCATAAGACTTCGGTAAAGAAATAAGTAGCAGAAGTGCTTGATCCTCATCTTCTATTATCATATCAATGTCCTTCAAATCCGATATGATTCTATCGAACTTGTTGATGTATTCCCGGATTGACGAACCTTCCTCCATTTTGCAAGTATATAATTTGGATTTTAAGTAGATCCGATTTGTTACTCTTCGTCATGAAGGTACTCTCTAACTTTGACGACACGCCTGCAGTCGTTTCCTCTCCATCCACCAAGAAAGCATCATTCCTCTCAAGACATAGGATAATCGATGCTCGTGCTTCGAGATCTAACTCTTCTTAATCCTCATCTGACATATCTTTGTGCTTCTTTTCTCTTCCCGCCATAACCTTTTGTAATTTTTACGAAATCAGCGAATTTTTCATCTGCATCCTCCAATAGAAAAAATCATTCTTTCTATTGAATTTTTCGATGTCATACTTTCCCATTTTAACTGTTTTACTTGTAGACGCCATTCTCCGCTAGTATTAATAAATCCACTTCTCTCAGGAATTTTAATAATAATCAAGCACCACCTCAGATCAGAAGTTCTACCACCACCAATTGTAGGGAGCGAGGAACGCCCACACCGCCGCGGAAGCTAAATCAATCCCGAGAGAAAATAACCCTAGCATAAGTTTACGCCAAACGCAAACCAACCAATACAAGCAATAGCGAATACAAAGATAAAACAATAAGTAAATAAGACGAGACAACAGATTTACGTGATTTGGCAAGCTTGCCTACGTCCACGAGAGCCGCACAATTAATTTCTTATTTAACCACAAGAAATTATAAAACTTGCTAAGAGAAGATCTCAAACTTGAGATCTCTCTACGGTATCGCTTGTGATTTATTCAACTGAATAAATCACAACTCAATCTCAATTTTCTTGACCGAAAATTGCTCCTCAAAATCCCTGAGAAGAGCCGCCGCCAAAGAGAGAAAAAAAATCCTCTCTGTTAAAATCACGAGAGAGAGAGAGAGAGAGCTCAGAGGGAACTCGTGAATAGGGTTTCCCTTTTATAGGGAAACCCTAGGTCTTCAGGCGAGCTCCACGCCAGCTTGACTACCACTGGCTTCCACCGCGTAAGCGACAAGCGAGCTCCGCATCAGGCGAGCTCAATCTCCTCTATGCCCGCAGTCCAGAAGGCGAGCTCCCTCCCCGCCTCTCTATGCGCAGGCGAGCTTCCTCGCCCTCGCCTCGCAAATAGGCAAGCTTCCTCGCCGTCGATCTTCAGGCGAGCTCATCCTTCGAATCAATGTCAGTTCTCTTCAGCAAACTAGATTACTTTTTTTCACTTTAATGCTCCGAAGTTTCTCCCTTTTTAATTTTGATGCTTTGAAGTTCTATTTCAGTATTTTTTTGAGGAACATTTCAATAATTTGAAGGAGAGGGAGTGGCAAGAAAAATTTATTTCATGTTAGCTTTTCTATGTTTCGATAATCTTGAACAAAATTATTATAAGCATGCAATCCTTCTGCAAAAGTTGAGATATTAAATTGTCAAAATTGAACTTTATGGTATCAAAGTGTAAAACATGGTGAAACGCGCGATGTCTACATTGAGAATATCCATATCCATCAATATAGTATTATTGATGGATTATTAACATCTTGTTATAAATCAGATCATCTTGCTAATTAATAACTAACTATGCTTAGCTCTCCTCTCTCATCTTGGATATTAGTATATTACGTGCTGAACTTCCATTTTCTTATGTATGAAGGCAATGTTGACATTTAAGAAATTTATTATTATCAAAACATTAGTGATTAGATCATTATCTCCAACTCTTCACACATGTGCGTCATCAACTTTTATCCTATTCTCAAGAAATAATAGAAGGAAGAAGGAGAGAAGGCAAACCCCTGATCCACGCTGTCATTTGTCATCAGCTTCTTGGAAGCTACCCAATGTGGGACAGGCATTAAATCAGGACATGAAAGTTCTCTATTAATATATTTTTTTTATGTGTATGTTTCGGTTGTTGTCCTAGTTTAAAATATATTCTCTCTTTCATTAAAAAAAAAAGGCGGCTGCAGCACACGGGTGAAGGACACGTGCGAGGGCACATAAGTGCATATCCGGTACGTGTCGGATTCAGCCCGCAGAGACCACGTGGGCTGTGTGATGTTATTCTGCTGTAGCTTGTTACACGTGTGGGTTCTTATCCTTACAAGTTCGGCGTCTTAATATAAATAATTTCCTGAGGTTTAAAAGCTCTGAGAATCTAGGTTGTAGTTATAGTAACGCACTCACTCTCAGGGCTTACATTATGTTAAAGAAAAGAGGGTTAAACTGTCTTGATCGGCGACAGGCTAATGAAAAAATTAAGGGGGTTTAACTCTTTAATTCTTAATCATCTAAACAATAAAAATTATTTAAGAATTAATAAAACCTTACGTGAGTTTAATTGAAAATTAGCCCGTCGGCGTGGGGGAGAGAGTGGAATGATTTTGTAAAAATCACAGTCAGATGTTCTTCTCTTAATATGAGTAAATTACTTGTACTCTTGTTTTATGATTGCTCATTTTGGTTGAACTCGCTCGAAGACATGCGGACCAAGTAGTGTCGACTTCATCTCTAGTTAAAATTTACAAAAGTATTGCACCTCACGAGATGTTTAGTATCAATAAGTAAACATAAATAAAAAATAAGATAATATCTTTCTAGCTTTTAATTTATTTCATCGGCTTTATGATTAATTAATCAAATAATAAGTAATGATGATATTTTTCATAATGTGGATGTTTGCAAATTTAATTAAATCAATGTGACATTCAGTAGCATGTTTTTCTAACTTCAATAAGTGTAAAATTGGTATATTTGTACAAAAGTAGGAGGATTAATCTTCTTGACCCTTCTTTATTTACCAAACGTAATAAAGCTAACACTTCATCTTAATTATCCAATCTAAATGGAATTTAACTAGTTTTAACTCCTTATGACGGGTTAACCAATTTAACCCTTCTCCTTAGCCCTTCTCTCTTGATCACTTGCCAAAGGGCACATAAGATGGTAATTATTCTCCTAGAAAAGCTTACGGGGGAAACATTCCTATATTTAGTACAACCTTACAATAAGGATAAAATTGTAATGAAGTAGGCAGACTAAAAAGCAGTAAAATCAAAATTTTTATCCACCTACATCCTAAGATCCATACGTAGAAGAAGATCCAAGATATAAAATTACCTGAAGCGTGCAGATTAACAACGAAAAACTACGTATTCATTGAAATGTTGCGCGGCAATTGTAGCGACGCCTCTACTAGTATCCACACGAACTTATTGGAACTCCGCACGTTGGTGTGCTAGCACTTTTAAGACGGCGGCCTTTGGAGTCTCTCTCTCTTTTTCCTCACGATTTCAGAAGCTCGATTGGATGATCAAAAGGTCCATCCCATGCCCCTTTTTATAGGGCTGTGAGGTAGTTTCTCAAACCGTAAAGAGATCGGGATTCCAATCATACGGTTTCTCAAAATATAATTTCACTACCACAAAATAGGTCTATGAGGACGGTTCGTTGGGGACGGTTTAAAACCGTCCCCTTAGCTTTCTAAAGAAACGGTTTTGTGACGGTTCCACCCGTCACAATAGAGTCTAAGGCAACACTTTAAAATAAAGTGTTGGGCTTGAATTAGTTTTGTGAATATATCCTGTAATGGGCTAAAGGTACGGTTCCCCAAATTTTCATTTTTTGTTTTGGAAACGAGCGCCGCACTGCCCCCCCCCCCCACTCCCCCCCCCCCATCAAAACAAAATCACCGCGTCTCTAGGGTTTTCTTGTGTCGATTTCTTTTTTGTCCGCCAGCTCTCCTTGACGGAGCAAAGCCCGCCGCCTCTCCTTTACTCACGCTCGTCCTCGACTATCTCCACCTCGCGTTTCCCTCCTCCCCTTGGCTCCCTCTGTCCACGGCCTCTCCTTCACTTCTCCTCGTTCAACACCTTCGCTTGTTCGCAGACCATCCAACCTCGTTACCCACCTCTCCTCAATTCGCCGTTGTCCACCGCCTCCCCTCACATCCTCCCATCTTCGAGGACCGCCGCCGAGACCTCCACACGACTCAAAAAAAGGTATCGATCTCATTTCCTCCTTCTATTTCCCTTGTATATTCTTTGCTCAGTTGACGCATTTCTTTACTTTGATATTGAGTATATTTAGCAATTAAACCTCTATATTGAGCATTTTTAGCAATTTTCTAGGGTTTCTGCGATGAATCCCTTTGATTTTCTTGATTATATGTCGCAGCGTTTGAATTTAAAGACATCTTGAACCCTAGTTTTGGAATATCCTGCATTTAGTGCAATTTTCAAAAAAATTGTTTAGTTAATTGTTGTAACGTCTAATTTCCCCTAAATTTGAGTATTTGCTGGTGTATGTGGTGGTTGTTAGGTGAGGACTGAGGAGGAGTTCACTGGATTGTACATGTTATTACAGGTTTGAGGATGAAACATTCTATCCAGGTGATGAAGAGTACATTTTTCATGGGTAACACTGGGAATTTTATTCCAGATCCCTCTTCATGGTTGAGATTGGTGGCTATTATTCATCAATTGCTAGTGTATTACTATAATTAGTTGGAGTTCACAAGGTTCTGACTAGGGATTTCACTGAAATCAGTAAACAAGAGAGCGATAAGATTGAAGATAGAATTATCTGAGCATATACCTTCACAAAAATGGCTACATTCTTCACAGCATGTTCTCTGATCTCTTTCAGTGTTATTTAGAAGAATGTTCAACTTCAAGGGATTCAAATTCCTATAAACAAATGCCAATAAGCTCAAAAGTTGGAGGCACTGATAAATCTGATTTAAGTGGTTGCACAATTTATTTCCATCTATCTAATATCTTCACCTGAAAGTATCTCTACGCTTATCTTTACTACAAATCTTGAGAGGATTTCATGAGGTAAAAACTTGTGCTTATCTTTAATTGAGATTCACTGGTATAACATCACTTTGTTTGCAGGTTCTTCAAAATGCGAAGGAACTAAAACAAAAATTAAAGGACCATCTTCGAAATAAATCAGACTTGTTCAAGAACGGTCTTCTAGAGAATGATAAGGTGTGTTCAATAATTTGTTGCCGTATATATTCTCATGTTGGGAGCATAGTTTTTCCCCCTGATCCCCCTGATTTGTTTTTCTCAACATATATAGGTTATGCTCGGAAATAATGGATGGAAAGAGATGTATTATTAAGTAAAGTTTTCTGCAGACAATCCAATAGAGATTGAAAGCATCCGAAAGAAGGTAGTGGGTTTTGGATTTTCCTTGACCTTTCTCTGTTCTACTCTCGGAGTTTTATATTTTTTTATGCTGAATTTATTTTTATGTATAATATTTCAAGCTGGAAAACTATGTGGAAGCTCTATGTTGGGTATTGCGTTACTATTTTGCTGGTGTGCCTTCTTGGTCGTGGTAAGCAACAGTTAAGAAATTTCGTTTCATTTAATTTCCTAATACATAAGGTCAACAATATGTATAAACTCCATTTTACTTTTCCAATAGGTATTACCCTTTTCATTATGGTCCTTTTGTATCAGATCTAAGGGGTCTCGGTTCCCTCAAACAAGAATTTAGAATTGGGTAACCTTTTAATCCATTTGATCAACTCATGTCTGTGCTTCCATCAAAGAGGTAAATTCACTTTAAGTACTTTAATCCATTTGATCAACTCATGTCTGTGCTTCCATCAAAGAGGTAAATTCACTTTAAGTACTTTCATGACTATATGCAATGTTTCTTTAAGGATCATTTATGGATTTGTTTTGACATACAGTTCTAATGCACTGTCAGAAGCTTATCGGAATCTTATGACCTGTAAGGATTCACCGATCATTAAGTTCTACCCACAAGGTAGGACACTTGCTTACAATCTCATGCTTTTGAAAATTCATGTCATGCATCAAACTTTCCTTGTGATGACAGATTTTGTAGTGGACACCAATGGAAAGAGGTTTTCTTGGCAGGTTTATAAACATAAACTTCTATCAATTTTTAACCATTTCGTAGCAATTGGAGATTAAGACATAAGTATCCTTATTGGTAAAATTTATATTTGTTCTTTCCCTCTTATTTATATCAAGTATTTATGATCACAATTTTTTTTGTTACCGCCTGGGAATAAATACCTTATGATCATGCCTCTGTTTCTATTTCATTTATGTTAGTCAATGGTATAGCTGATGGAAAGATGTGATCGATATGCACGATGATCGAAAAGAGGCAATTTCCTATGAAATTTGGATCATAAATAGGTTAATGCAATGATATTTTCCTGTCATTAAGATTTGATTCATTAGTTTTTAGCGTGAAATTTTAGACGAGTTCTTCATTTGAACTTTTTTGGAACAGATGCACAAAACACCTTCAGTGCCAAAATTCGGTGTTTGGGATGAAAAGGGTCCAAAATCAGGAGATGGGTTCACTGTTATCTTTAACAAAGTTAAACAAGAGAAACAAAATGCTGCTAGTAAGCTTCCGAGAGTTCCAATAGATCCAACTATTCATCCAAGCAAGCGTAAGAATCGCGCAAATCCTGCCTCAAGGTCGAAGGTATGTCCTGAATCCTTGTTTCTCTCCTTTGTATAAATGAAATTATATCTTATATTTCTAACTGTTTACTTCAGATATTATGTTGCATTAGACCCGCCATTGATGAATGAGTCATGGGTACTGGCTTAAGGAGCATCAACCACTCTGATGAAAATTTTTCTACATGTTTGCTCTATATCAGCAAGCATTTGTGAAATATTGGGCTAATTTCGGCTCTATATAGGCAAGCATTTACGATGATCTGGTTTATGTCTTGCAAACATAGAGACAAGCGATATAGTGTAATGATATGTCCGATTTCTGAAGCATGATTTTATAATTAGTCAGGAGACTCAGGACGCATATTTATTCTGGATGTATACTGACAAGGTTCCCTATTGCTGCTCTATTTTATAGGAAAAGAACTGTTGGTCTATTTAATAAGAAAAGAACCGCTTGAAGTTTATTGCATCTACCTGTTTCAAATTCAATCATAAGATATGTTTGAAGTAACCTAAAGCCTCGTTTCTAGACAGTGGGGCTTCCATGATATTATATTTTGAATCATTGGCACTTGCATAAGCCTAACGTGTGTTTGGCGAGCTCTTAAAATTGAGTCAAGACTAAAGCTGACCATAAAAGAGGTAAATTCACTTTAAGTACTTTCATGACTATATGCAATGTTTCTTTAAGGATCATTTATGGATTTGTTTTGACATACAGTTCTAATGCACTGCCAGAAGCTTATTGGAATCTTATGACCAGTAAGGATTCACCGATCATTAAGTTCTACCCACAAGGTAGGACACTTGCTTACAATCTCATGCTTTTGAAAAATCATGGCATGCATCAAACTTTCCTTGTGAAGACAGATTTTGTAGTGGACACCAGTGGAAAGAGGTTTTCTTGGCAAGTTTATAAACATAAACTTCTATCAATTTTTAACCATTTCGTAGCAATTGGAGATTAAGACATAAGTATTCTTATTGGTAAAATTTATATTTGTTCTTTCCCTCTTATTTATATCAAGTATTTATGATCACAATTTTTAGCATTCAATATTACAACAATGTCATTAACGAGCTCGTGTCCAAAGGTGACAGTCTCTTCTCTGTCATCAAATCCCTGATTATCCATCAATCTGATGCTAAAAAATTTCCTATCCACATATCCATGCATAGAGCCTTACATGACAATCTTCCACTGGGATTTTCCTCAAAGCCTAGAAGACCAGTATGGTGGCTTTCTAGCCCTCTCGTTGTGTGAGTCAATTTGTGTATAAGCTATTTTCCTTTAGCCAACTATCTTGGTTTGTAAGGCATAAATTGCTCATTGCATTATTTTCTTTGTTCTGTTATAGCTAGCGATGACTTTAGAGATTATGCCGATCTTTGCTTTAAGTCATTTGGAGACCGAGTGAAGAATTGGATCACATTGAACGAGCCATGGACAAATTGTCATTGAGGTTATGCTGTAGGGATATTTGCACCTCGTCGTTGCTCTCCGTGGGAGGCTGGAAATTGCAGTGCTGGTGACTCCGGTCGAGAGCCTTAATATTGTTGCTCGTCACCAGATTCTAGTCCATGCTTCTGCTGTTAAGCTATATAGAGATACTTTTTGTTTTAATGAAAGAGGAATTTTAGTCATGTACTTTGGACAAAAGAAAAAACTTGTACTAAAGTCATTGTAATGAACCAATGAATTGTTCCTTATGTTTGGTTGTTAATTTGCTTGCAAAATTTGGAGTTTCATTTCTTTGTTTGTGACATGAGCAGGTATAAATCATGAAGTTTTCATTTTGTTTACTTCTTTTTTAATTTTGAAACTGCAGGTCGAAAAATGTGTGATATATCTGGATGATTTGCTTTTGCACGGTCAAAATTGAAAACCGTCTCCTTTGTTATGTATACTTGTTCCCAAAATCTAAAACTGTCACCTTTGCTAGATAATTGTCCTCATTGCTCGAAAGTAAAAGCCGTTCCCATTGGTATCAAACCGTTCCCCTTTCTTAGAACCTAAAAATCGTTCCCCTTGCTATCAAACCGTTCCCCTTGCTTAGTACCTAAAAACCGTTCCCCTTGCTATATAACCGTTCCACTTGTATAAAACTAAGAACCGACCCCCTAGCACAACCGTTCCCTTATGGTACCAATGATGACAGTTTACAAACTGTTCCCCTAGGATCATAAACCGTCTCATTAGACCTAAGAGCACGGCCATAAATGAGACGGATGTTGATCCGTCCCCATAGATGTAAGGCAACGGTTTTTATGCCTAGTGTGACGGTTCACAACCGTCCCCATAGACCTCAAATGTGGTAGTGTTTATTCAAATCAAATCATATCTTTAAACCGTGATTGATCATATCAATTTGATTGCTAGGAGATAGGTTCATTGAACTTGGTCAGTATTTCTTTCAAACGTGATTGATCAAATCAATTCTGATCTATTAATCGAGATTGATCAAATCAATCCTTATCCAATTACCCGATAACCTCACAACTAATCATATCTCTATATGACTTAATTTATGCGGGCTTTCTTAATAACGTTCCAACATGTTCATGTGTGCGACCCAATAGGTTTACACGATGTTGGCAGTGAGCCAAAATACTTTTTCGGCCCACAAGTCATAAGCGGACCCTAGCAGGACATTATGACTACCCAAATCATGTAAAGGTCATCTCAGACGAAACCTAGTTCACAATGGACATATGTCGGTCTCTTCATCACTAGATAATTTGATTGAACTCAAGGCAGGAAGCGTGTCAACCTTATACAGTTCAACCTTTAATTTCTCGCACATGAAGTTAGACTAACTTTTCAATAGTTGACTCTCAACTAATTAGGCATGACCATGCACTTTCTCAGTCTATCTTCTTCGAGGGGCCCAGAGATATCATACTCTCATTTATATGAGAGGGACAAATTCCATCTTGACCATTCACATCCCTCTGCATGATTCATAGCATACCCGATTGATACCTTTATTATTATCCGTTTAGGGAAACGTTTGGTAACATCAAAGTATACAATCCTCATGTAGGAAACCGTGATAATCTCAGGTCAAAAGACCGAACATAATCATTGTATGAAACCTACTAATGACACATATAATCCATGCAGTGTTTCATAGCGGGTCAGTCCAGTATCATGTTCATCAATCAATCAATCCATGTGATTGACTTGATATCTCATATCCATGATCCGTGAAACATGATCATCAATCAATCCACATACTACCTATAAAATCATTAGTGTGCCAACCAATGACAAAAGACAAGGACTATTTAGAATAACATCACAATCTAATTACAGAGTTTCATGTTCAAGTCACATACTTAATGATCCATAATAAGTGATTTATTTAAGGGACCGAATAACAAATTATTCATAGAAGTTGCATAAACATAAATTAAACATAATCATCTCTGTTATTGGTCTCTAGGGCATATCATACTAACAAAAATATATCCTCAGATGGAGATCTTCCTTTCTCAATTCAAAAAATTCAAAACAATTATAAAAACATCCTCAAAATTCCTAACATGCAAATATCAATAAAAATTTCAAACTTTAAAGATAGCCCCATAATTTTTTAGATTTGCAAAAATCAAATTATAAATTTAAAAAATTGTAAAAAACAACAAAAAAACAAATTTTACAAAAACATCTGAAAATGTCAAATAAAAAATAATACAAAAAAAATCTAAGAATTACAAACAACAACCTAAAAATTTAAAATTTATAAAGAACACCTTAAAACTTTCAAAAGTTGCAAACAAGCTCCTTAGAGATTCAAAACTTACAACAAAAGCCTAAAAAATTCAAACTTAAAAATAGTAAATTAAAAATCTAGGGTTATAAATAGCCCCTTGAAAATTTTAAATTTGCAAAAAGCCCTCATACTTACAAAAGTTGCCAAAAACACCCTAAAATTTTAAAAGTTATAAAAAATACCCTAAGAATTTTAGGTCTACGGCCAGTACACTGAATATCTAGGAACTACAAGAAGCATCATAAAAATTTCAAATTTGCAAAAATGCCTAAAAATTTTCAAAACTTGAAAAAACCCCTCAAAACTAGAAATTAAAAAATGCAACTCTTTGTATTGATTTTCTTTTTAGGATGCTTCTTGTAAATCTTAAAATTTTTAGTGTGTTTTTACAAGTTTTTAGGATTAGATTGCTTTTTACAAAATTTTAAAATTTTAGGGGGCTGTTTGTAAGCCTAGATTTTTCAATTTGCTATTTGTAGGTTTCGAATTTTCAAGGAGTTTCTAGTAAATTAAATATTTTATGGTTATTTTGCAAAATTTAAAAGTTTCTAGATGCTTTGTACAAATTCTAAATTTCAAGGGGCTAATTCTAATTCTTAGACATTTAGTGTATTATATTTGGTATGAAGTTTTTAGGGTTTTTTTGTAAATTTTGAATTTTTGAGGTTCTTTTTTGTAATTTAAAAGTTTAAAGGTTTTTGTTATAAATTACAAAATTGTCAAGGGGCTGCACATAATTCCTAAATTTTCAATGTATTATTTGTAGGTTTGAAATAATCATAGAATTTCTTAAAATTTTTGAAATTTTGAGGGTGTTTATTGTAACTTTGGAAGTTTAGGGTGTTCCTACAAATTCTAAAATTCTTAGGGGGTTGTTTGTAATTCATAGATTTTTAGTGTTTTAATTTTTGAGGGTGATTTTTGCAATATTTGAAAGTTTTAGGGTGTTTTTGACAAATTTAAAACTTTTTAATTTATTATTTGTAATTCCTAGGGTTTTAGTTTTTGTTTTGTAAATTTTAATTTTTGTGGGTGTTGTTGGTAATTTTAATATTTCATGGTGTTTTAGGCTAATTCAAAATTTTTCGAGGGCTATGGATATGTTCTTGAAACTTTTCAGAGTTATTTGTAAGTTTTTCAATTTTTTTAATTTTTTAATTTTTGCGGGTGTTTTTGGTAGTTTTAGAATTCTTGGGGAGTTTTTGTAATGTCCTATTTTAAGGGGGATATCTATAATATTTAGATTTTAGGGGTTTTTAGTAAACTTTGAAACTATTTTGGAGTTGTTTATAATTTCACTTGTTGAAATGAATCAAGTCTAAACTTTTTAGCCCTTTTTATCCTACTCCTTTAGTTGGTTAAAGTTTATCTTCATATGTGATTAAACTTTTAATCTTGATAAAATTTTAGCATGATAACAAATATAGTTAAAATTAGTAGAAAGTTTACCATGATAAAGTTTAACCCTTTTATCCTTGTACCAAATAAGCTCTAAGGGCATGTTTGGCAATTGGGAAGTAAATAGAAAGTGGACCCATAATTGGAAAGGGACTTCACCTTTTGATTTTTCTCATTTGACATTTGGAAAGCGAATGAAAAGTGAAGGGTGTTGTAGGCATCTAAAAATACCCATAGGTTCCTGAACGCAGCTCAAGACGGAGAGAAGACGATGAACATCTTCATCCGAGTCAAAAAGGATTATCCGAATGGCTGTCGCGCTTGTCGGTCAGCTCCAAATAGCCGTCACGCTTGTTGGTCAGCTCCAAGTGCCGTAAAGAGCTAACGAGTGCATGAAACAAGTTAGCAAAGCGTACAAGTCAACAAGACAACCAAATACGCAAAACAGCAGGAAATACAAGTCCGGGAAAGTCGGGAAACACCAAAAAGCGAAAAGAAAGCCTGGGAACCCAAGTGGGGTCGCGGGTCGCCACTTGATGACCCACGCACACGCGGGTCACCAAGAGGTGACCCGCGGTCGCGCGGGTCACCACTTAGTGACCCGGTCACCAAGAGGTGACCCGCGACCACACGGTTCACCACTTGGTGACCCGCGCCCACGCGGGTCACCATGACCTGTCGCGTAGTCCCGAGCCTCAAACGCGTTTTCGATAGTTTTTAAGTAGTTTTCACAGGATTTATCTGTTGTAGAGGTTCCTAACTGACTTGATATCATCTCTACACGTGGGTAGGCCGTTATTAACTGAAGATGAGGCCAAATCTCCCATTCTTATCCGAATAACCGCATCCAAGGCCTAATAAATACAAGCCTAAGGTCCCCATTCTCAAGGGGCGAATTATTATCAAGACAAGGAGGTGGTGCCGAGTTGGAGAGCAAGGAAGCATGAATTTTAGAGGAGACTAGCTGATCTCGATGAAGTTCTTCAGCATAAAGAGGGAGAGTTCGAGAGATCTAAAGCCTCGTCTTCCCATTCCTTGAGATTAGGCTTAGTTTAATCTCGAGAAGAGTACTGATTTCGCTTGGTCGATATTAGTACTTTAGCGAATACTTCCTTGGTGAAGTAGGAGCTCTGATTAATCATTCTGTCAACCAGATCCAATCCGTAGGCAGTCCACGGATATCAACGTCCCCGACATAGGCAAAGATCCCATGCAAACAGAGACTAATAAATAGGATCTGTGTGTTATTTGAAAAAGATAGTAATCAGTTATTTCCATTGTATAAAAGTCTTATAAAAAGACTAATTTTTTGTTGAGTTTATTGTAAGGCCTGAAGTTGTAATAGATTCAATCACAATGAAGAAAATAATTTCTAACTCAAAAACGCTAGCGATCACAGTGGAAGCCAACAGCTTCTCTGCAGAGGCTGTTGTGTCGTAACCTCGGATCTGAATCCCGGTTGAAGAAGAGGTCGAGTACGAGTTCGACTAATAGAAATTCGAGGAGTATCTGCCGTCCTTCTCCTCCAGATCATCCTCCACTCGCAAGCATAGAAAGATTAACACCCCCGTTGTT